TACTACTACTACTACTACTGACTACTACTACTACTACTACTACTACTACTACTACTACTACTACTACTACTACTACTACTACTACTACAGCTTCTGCAAACACTGCTTGGGCTTTCGGTGCTTCAGCTTCTGCAAACGCTGCTTGGGCTTTCGGGGCTTCTGCTTCTGCAAACACTGCTTGGGCTTTCGGGGCTTCTGCTTCTGCAAACACTGCTTGGGCTTTCGGTGCTTCAGCTTCTGCAAACACTGCTTGGCTTTCGGGGCTTCAGCTTCTGCATACACAGCACATAAATAGTTTATCAGTTTTGCAAGTAGATCTTTGCAGTCCTGGCATCCAGGACGGTAAATATAGCGGTTATGCTGTCCTGGCATCCAGGACGGTACGTATAGTGGTTATGGTCCGGTTATGGTTGTTACACTGCGTAGGTTTTCGTAGTACTAGTACTAGTAGAAAGCATATTATGCAGGAGTCTTTGTTGACTAGCTGTCACAATCAAACATATACACGTACGGCGTGGCGAGGCGCCAACAGCCATTACAACTCACGGTGGGCGGCACTTCAAGCAATCAGTCGCAACCAACCAACCGACCGACCAACACTCCAGCACATGCATCAAGCCAGGGACACAACCACCATCCAACACATGCATCAAGCCAGGCACACAACCACCATCCAACACATGCATCAAGCCAGGCACACAACCGACCAACAGGTGCCAGCCTTCAGAGCCAAGCACACAACCGACCAACAGGTGCAAGCCTTCAAGCAATCAGTCCCAAGCACAACCAGCGTTCCTCCAGATTCTACAACTGCCACTGCGAGCCAAGCACACAACCGACCAACAGGTGCAAGCCTTCAAGCAATCAGTCCCAAGCACAACCAGCGTTCCTCGAGATTCTACAACTGCCACTGCGACTGCAAACACAGCTTGGCTTTCGGTGCTTCAGTTTCTGCAAACACTGCTTGGCTTTCGGGGCTTCAGCTTCTGCAAACACTGCTTGGCTTTCGGGGCTTCAGCCTCTGCAAACACGGTTTGGCTTTCGGTGCTTTTGACAGCATTATGCAGGATTCTTTGTTATGGGTTTGAACAGTTCAGGCGTGGAACCCAGTTTTTGTTTGCAGGCTTTTGATTTGGAGTTTGTGCAAGCTTTGGCCAGGGTTTAGGATCAAGGCGGATGTTGCGAGGGGGAGCACCTCCACCCGATGGCCAAGGGGGAGCAACTCCACCCGAGGCCATGCATGCACTAGATTGGGAACAAGAGAGGTTTCGGGAATATCGGTATTAAGGGGTGTATATGTGAATGCATCCTCCCTTTTTTTGGTGAGGCCTTGGCCCTTGCGGTTTCAAACTTGGAACCTAAACTTGCAAGCTTCGGGACTATGGAATGTTGTTTGGTTGCATTGTGGCAAGTTCTTCCTTAAGCCGAAATCTAAACCCTCAACCCCCAAACCTGAAGCCCCAACTTTGGAAACCCTAAACCCTAAAACCCTTAAGAGACCTGCGGCGTCCTCTTTTTTTTCTGCGACGCGGCGCTTCTTCTTCGCCGTCGCCCCGGGCAAGCGTTGCCAGAGAAACACTTGTTTCGTCAGGTAACGTCTTGCCCAGGTGCGAGGCTGAGAAGTCACGTGGCAGCCGGCCGAAACAATCTTGAGGAACTTCATATGATCCTCACCCAAAAAATTCGCAGCATGGTAAAAGTTGAGCTTGTGGCAGGGCAGCTCATCCACCAAATGCTGCGTGTAATGCATCTTCGGCCGAAGTTTGTACAAGCAGATGCCTTTTCGATGAAATCGTGCAGCAGCGTGAGCATAACTCAGAAGGAACGTATCGAAACACCATTGTGATTCGATAATCTCCTCTGGCTTGAGAAAGGGTTTACTGCCAGTTCCCCCAACACTCAATGCTGCATCCAAGCACCATACCATCGTTGCCCTGCACCTCGACCAATGCACCGTGTCTGAGGGTGCGTCACCAGACACCAGTATTTCCAGTTGACAGCAGTAATAAGCGGTAAACGCCAGCAAGTTTCTGGTCCGACTTGCTTTTATACGGCTTGTGAGATCAGGGTAGATAGCCTTCTTGTTGGCATGTAAAGTTTCCCACGTCAGCGGCTTCATCGAGCAATCCAGGCCACGATCCTTGCAGAAACTTTGGGCTTCCGCAGTCCACCTGTGAAGAAGCTGATCTGGGCTGCCATCGAATCGCAAGAAAGCTGCCATCTCGCCCGATCTCACGGTCTCAACCAGAATGGAAGCCACAAGGTCCCGGATGTAACCCAGATGGGCGAGGTGCATAACTTGGTTGAGCAGTGCATCTTACAGTATTCGAGCACTACATAACCAAAAGCCATAAAAAAGCCATCCAGGAATGCTGTTAATGCGACCTAGAGGCTGTCAAACAGGCGGCGGCGCTTGGTGAAGCCCTTGACTGAGCACCAAACAGATCGTTCTTCTTGGTGTGGCAGCGGCTCATGGTAGCTGCATGTAGAGCGCCACAGAGCTGACGAAGAAAAGTCTGTGAAAGTCAGCTGTTTGTCCCTGCTCGATGCCCAACACCAATCGCATATCGAAGGCTTGTTATAGTGCCTCTGAAGATTGTGTGATTTTGCATGAGCTTCCATATCTCCAGCCCAATATGAGAAGCATGCTCTGATCCCAATGTTTTGGCCAATCTTTTGGGCTCGCGCTGAGCCAGCTGGCCACGGAACGTCGTTGTGGTCGCAGGATGGAAAAACGCCACGTTCCAGTGCTCGAAGATCCCAAGCGATGATGTCAGCGATGCAGCGTCTCGTTTCGGGCGCGACACGACTGTTCGTGACACCAACAATGCCTTTAATTGTTGTTTTCCATCATATACATATATATATATATATATATATGTATATGGTCAGCTAGCTCTGTTGTCCAACTAAAAGAATATTGCTAATCGAAAATTTCCGAGGGACAGAAGCGAGAGATCTCGCTTCCGCGGCTAGCCAAAGGCGTGGTCCAAGACCAGAAGTTGCATGTTTCGCTCTTAGTTGTTGGTACACCATCCTCATGAAAGCGTAATGGAAGCATGTCCTGGTAGTTGGGATTGTTCCGGGAGATCTCCCGTATGTAAACCTGGTCCCGTTCTTGCTTCCACCATTCATCTACTGACCTGAGATATCAAAGCAGGAAATGTGCGTCCATGAGCAATAAATGCACCAACAATGAACCAAGCAATCAGGCGCGTGCCGAGGTGCGAATGTCCAATAAGACAGGTTTCCACCAGTGATCTTTTGCAAAGCTCGCAGAGAACATCACTGGGAAGACAGAAAGCTGTTTTCTCAAATATCAGTTGTTTGTCCTTGCGTTCTTTGGTGTTGCTCCACACAGGCAAATCCACCAGCAGGGGCTGGATGGGTAACTTCATCCAGCGGAAGAAATCCCTCTCCCGTTCGCTGCTTGCCATTTGTGAAAGGGCAAGTCCAGATGCCCCATCTCGCCGGAAGGCAGATGCTATTCTGCTTTTTTCGGCCACAGGTATCGCCTCAGAATGTGTGTTCTGGCTGCAAGGTCCAAGAGTGTTGCACACGGACTATATAGCTGACGTGCTTGGATACATCCAAGTCAAGAGTCTCCAGCACCCATGCGCTGGGCCAGTAAAGCTGCACCAGCGGAGTCAAAGTCATCTGCGGTCCTTGCTCCAGTGGCGTGTTTATGCTTATTGCATATATTGCGGTCCCAGCAGCATCCCACGACGACGTGTCGTAAAGGCAGGCCGACCAGACTCTGTCAAGGGCACGTACCTGGCAACAATGTTTTTCATTTCTTCCACCCCATCACGTGAAACCCCGTCAGGGCATCTGCAGCAAGCAATTTTTGGCACCAGAGCGACGATCGATTCCCCAAGGATTGTGAAAGTCGAGAGCACTGGCTTGGGTCCTCGAGCCCTTGGGCGAGGACCCTACACCAACTGTACGTTATCAGTGTCGGACACTGGAAGAAAATGAGATGTGCAAAATCCAGATGGATCTGTTACCAGTAACCTTGGAGTATTCTAATATATTCTAATATACGTGAACAGCACGACATGCCCATCTGCGCACCGACCCCGGGTGCCAAGATTCTTTCTAGGCTCCCTCCGCGGCTTTGCGCTTCTTGGACTTGGCTTTAGCCGATCCTTTGGGCGCGGTTGGATCCTTCGGAGTCGCCTTCGCAGCTCGGATCAAGCTGTTTGCTACCTTGCTGGGCCTCTCATAACGCTTCGCGATATCGAGATATCTGGTAGCAATGGGAAGATAGACCCCATCATCGTGGACCAGCTCAGAGATGAGCTTGTCCACCTGGTCGTAGATCGCCCTTGGCCGTATAGTACTGGGATGGGGCCACATGAGCGTCTGTCAAGACTTCTTGTTCATATGGCTAGACCAGGGTACCTGCCCTGTGGGGCAGAGGCTCATAAAACAATCTAGTAGGTATCAATGCAGCCAAGGCACTGGAACTCCTGCTCGAAGTTGGTCATCTCCTTGAGGCATTCAGTCGCATAGCTGACTCCTTTCAACTGCTTCCGCATCGAGCCAGCGTGGTTGGCCTTCGAGAGGGCCCGCCCCCTTAAGTCTGCCGCCTTGTCCAGCGGTGTAAGTTTCTCCACTCGTGGTGCTTCCGGCTCAGTTTCACCGTCTTCGTCTTTCTCTTTGCCGCTGGCTTCATTTTTCCTGGCTTTCTTTGGTTTTTTGGTCGGAAGTGGCTTTGGGTCCTCCTCCATGTCCACATTGTCCTCATCATCCTGGCCGGGCCCTGTCAGCGCCCGCCGGGGCACACTGAGAATTTGTGCAACGTTGGCAGCGTCACCCGCACGAACTTCTCCGGAAGCAGTGAAACTGCTTCCTCGGATTCCGTTCGCATGAATGCACGAATGCTACATAAATGTTGAAGTCGAACATAACTGCATGCACGATGTATGAATGCAAGCAAGAAACGTTCTTCTGTGCCTCTCGTCCATTCCCTCTGCCACTCGTTGTGCAAGTAAAGCTTGAGCCCTTTACAATTGGGATCATCAACCTCCAAACCAGCCTTCCTTTTTTCCTCCATCACCTTCGCAGCATTGACCGCACCGTACTTGCCGATCAATTCCTGTTCCGTCAAAGGTTTCATCTTTCCCTTTTCCTTGTCCGTCCCCACAGAAATGGACGATGCAGTCCACTGCCCGACCAGCTCATTTTCGTCTCCTCCTGCAGCGACGATCAAGTCGATGGCTTTGCTCTTTGAATCTTCGTCCCGCACCAACTTTGCCAAGTCATCAGGCAAGGCTTGCATCCTCTTTGGGTTGCCTTTCAGGCGATTCAAGAACATGGCGGCGTTCTTTCGGTTGTAGAGTGGCGCAGAACCTTGGACCAAGCCGTCGCTTGCACTGCCAGGCGTTGTTTTTGCACTGCCAGGCGTTGTGATTGCACTGCCAGGCGTTGCAGGAGATGGCGTACCAGGTGCCTCCACCATGCGTGGGGTTGCAGGACTTGACCAACCCATCTTCGCACTGACATCATCAAAGGTCGGGGCATTAGGGGCCGGAGGAACGGCACCCCTGGTGGTAGGGGCCGGAGGATCGGCACCCCGGGTGGTAGCGGCCGGAGGATCGGCACCCCTGGTGGTAGGGGCCGGAGGATCGGCACCCGTTGTGGTAGGGGCCGGAGGATCGGCATCACTGGTAGGGGCCGGAGCTGGCGTTGCTGCCTTCGGCTTGATCAGTTTTGCAAGCTCATCCTTGCAGAACTGCTTGCACCCCTCATCCCCAGTAGCCATAATGTCCTGCAAGAGCTGTAGCTTTTGCAACTTTGTCGCGTTCATCGGCAAAGCCTGGTATTTTTTGCCGCCTGTGTTGCCACGTCGACCTGACAGTGGCGGATTTAGGCTTTGGGGTTTAGGGTTGTATAAAATTTAGGGAGCAAAGGCTTCGGGTTTAATGTTGAGGTTCTAGGTTATGGGGTTTATACTTATGGTTTAGGGGTTAAGGTTTCTTAGTTTCTTACAAGTCGCACGGCCTCCACCTTGGCTTTATCAGCGTCTTCCTTTTCCTTGGCCAGCCTGACTGTCTCACGGTCGCTCTTGTCCTTGGCCGATCTCATCTGTTCGGCCTCCTCCTTGTCCTTGGCCAATCTTGCCAGCCTGAACTGTTCCCTTTCCTTGGCCAACCTGGCATGCTCAGCTTCCTCCCTTTCCTTGGCCATCCTGGCTTTCTCAGCTTCCTCCCTTTCCTTGGCCAGCTTGGCTTCCTCCATTTCCTTGGCCATCCTGGCTTTCTCAGTTTCCTCCCTTTCCTTGGCCAGCTTGGCTTCCTCCATTTCCTTCGCCAGTCTGATGGCTTTCTCGGCTTCCTCCCTTTCCTTGGCCATCCTGGCTTTCTCAGCTTCCTCCCTTTCCTTGGCCAGCTTGGCTTCCTCCATTTCCTTGGCCATCCTGACTTTCTCAGCTTCCTCCCTTTCCTTGGCCAGCTTGGCTTCCTCCATTTCCTTGGCCATCCTGACTTTCTCAGCTTCCTCCCTTTCCTTGGCCAGTTTGGCTTCCTCCATTTCCTTGGCCATCCTGGCTTTCTCAGTTTCCTCCCTTTCCTTGGCCAGCTTGGCTTGCTCCATTTCCTTGGCCATTCTGATGGCTTTCTCGGCTTCCTCCCTTTCCTTGGCCAACCTGCCTTTCTCAGCTTCCTCCATTTGCTTGATCATTTTGCTTACTTTCTCAGCTTCTTCCTTTTCCTTGGCCAACCTTGCTTTCTCAGTTTCCTCCCTTTCCTTCGCCATTCTGCTGGCTTTCTCAGCTTCCTCATGTTCCTTGGCCAACATGGTTTCATCCTCCAGTTCCTTGGCGACCCTGGCAAAATCAATTTCAAGCTCTCGCTTTGGAGATTTTCTGATCGCATCATCCTCGCGTTCCTCGAGCCCGACCTCACGCATGAGATGCTCCAACGTGGCATCAAAGCCATCCTTTGTACCTGTGATCGAAACAAACCAGAACATGTGCACACTGAAGCTGCAACAAAACGCGAGTCATGGATGTCCTTCTGTCTGCAAGTCAGCAGGTGGCAGATCGTACTGGGTCGGCTGGGCGTCCTGGAAACAGATATGGCGCGTATCGGAAACAGGATGGGTTTGGCGGGATTGAAGTCCTGGGAGGAGATGTCCATCTCGCAGCCGTAGAGCTGAGACTCGAGTTCTTTCATCAGGTCCTGCTCCTCTTGCGCGTCGATCGTGGCCTCCGTCTGCTGAGTGTCCTAGATAGGCGGCAGCATGTTTGTTTGCTTTTCTTCCAGTTCCCTGAGCCCGAATGGTCCTGCAGGAAGGTGTCCGAAAAGCCCTGCCCAGCCACTCCGCCAGCAGCAGCCCCCGCCCTCATAGCGGTGTTCAGAAGCCGCCCGAACTTCGCCGGGTCGTTCTCGGCTTCTCCCGAAAGAGCGTCAAGCTGCTCCAGCTTCACTCGCATGGGGTCGTTCGCCATGCCCTGGAATTCCAGGGCCGCCTACGGGAGCCCCTTCCCAAACACCTTGAATACAAAAGATGCTGCCATGCTGACATTGACCAACACGCAGCAACAGAAAGCGGAATGCAAAGATCCAAGCGAGCAGCAACCTAAAGCAATACATTTGAGCAACTTGGGGCAGCCAACCAAGGCAGGAAATTCAATTTTCATCCGCCGCGGGTGCACAGAGCGATCTATCGTCCATAGCGACGAACAATCTCTTCCAGATCTCCTTTGCCGAAGATTTCTCCCGATTCCGTGATATAGGTGAAGTCGTCGGATCCCCAACGTCTCATAACCTCCAGCTGCTTCACGAAGTGGTTGATCTCTGGTTGGGTATAGATCTTCGGAACCTCGGCGGCGGCTGAGCTCGAGACCGCCGGCTGTTGAAGAGCATCATCCTTTTCGGTCTTCTCGGGTGGCCGCGTCTTCTTGGGTTTCTCGGTCTTCGCATCATTTTTCGGCAGCAAGAAGCCTTTCTTCATGGTGTTGGAGGCAAGGGATCCAAAATCTCGAGCACCACCGGCTGCAGCATTGCGAACACCGCCTGGCTTTCGGTGATTCAGCTTCTGCAATCGGTGCTTCAGCTTCTGGCCGTACGAAAAGGGTGTTAATGAATTTGTGTGGCGTGGCGAGGTGCCAACGGCCGTTCTCTGCCTCCGGAGGGGTGGCGCAAAGCAGCCAAACCTTCACCTACTACTACAGCTTCTGCAAACACTGCTTGGCTTTCGGTGCTTCAGCTTCTGCAAACACTGCTTGGGTTTTCGGGGCTTCAGCTTCTGCAAACACTGCTTGGGCTTTCGGGGCTTCAGCTTCTGCAAACACTGCTTGGGCTTTCGGGGCTTCAGCTTCTGCATACACAGCACATAAATAGTTTATCAGTTTTGCAAGTAGATCTTTGCAGTCCTGGCATCCAGGACGGTAAATATAGCGGTTATGCAGTCCTGGCATCCAGGACGGTACGTATAGTGGTTATGGTCCGGTTATGGTTGTTACACTGCGTAGGTTTTCGTAGTACTAGTACTAGTAGAAGAGCAGGGCCGGAGGAACGGCACCCCTGGCGCTAGGGGCCGGAGGATCGGCAAACCTGTAGTAGTAGTAGTAGTAGTAGTAGTAGTAGTAGTAGTAGTAGTAGTAGTAGTAGTAGTAGTAGTAGTAGTAGTAGTAGTATAGTAGTAGTAGCAGTATAGTAGTAGTAGTAGTAGCAATAGTAGTAGTAGTAGTAGTAGTAGTAGTAGTAGTAGTAGTAGTAGTAGTAGTAGTAGTAGTAGTAGTAGTAGTAGTAGTAGTAGTAGTAGTAGTAGTAGTAGTAGTAGTAGTAGTAGTAGTAGTAGTAGTAGTAGTAGTAGTAGTAGTAGTAGTAGTAGTATAGTAGTAGTAGTAGTAGTAGTAGTAGCAGTAGTAGCAGTAGTAGCAGTAGTAGCAGTAGTAGTAGTAGTAGTAGTAGTTCTAGTAGTAGTTCTAGTAGTAGTAGTAGTAGTAGTAGTAGTAGTAGTAGTAGTAGTAGTAGTAGTAGTAGTAGTTCTAGTAGTAGTTCTAGTAGTAGTTCTAGTAGTAGTAGTAGTAGTAGTAGTAGTAGTAGTAGTAGTAGTAGTAGTAGTAGTAGTAGTATTATAGTAGTAGTAGTAGTAGTAGTAGTAGTAGTAGTAGTAGTAGTAGTAGTAGTAGTAGTAGTAGTAGTAGTAGTAGTAGTAGTAGTAGTAGTAGTAGTAGTAGTAGTAGTAGTAGTAGTAGTAGTAGTAGTAGTAGTAGTAGTAGTAGTAGTAGTAGTAGTAGTAGTAGTAGTAGTAGTAGTAGTAGTAGTAGTAGTAGTAGTAGTAGTAGTAGTAGTAGTAGTAGTAGTAGTAGTAGTAGTAGCAGTATAGTAGTAATACTAGTAATGTTATAGTAGTCACAGCGGTTATTCAAGTCACGAGTAAGTCACGGGTAGTCACGGTAGCGATATATAAGTCCCAGCGGTTATTCAAGTCACGGGTAAGTCACGGGTAGTCACGGGTAGTGACGGTAGCGCTAGAGCTATATAAGTCCCAGCGGTTTTTCAAGTCACGGGTAAGTCACGGGTAGTCACGGGTAGTCACGGTAGCGCTAGAGGTATATAAGTCCCAGCGGTTATTCAAGTCACGGGTAAGTCACGGGTAGTCACGGGTAGTCACGGTAGCGCTAGAGCTATATAAGTCCCAGCGGTTATTCAAGTCACGGGTAAGTCACGGGTAGTCACGGGTAGTCACGGTAGCGCTAGAGTTATATAAGTCCCAGCGGTTATTCAAGTCACGGGTAAGTCACGGGTAGCAGCTGCGGCAGTGATCGTATAGTAGAGCGGCTGGAACCATGTTGTTTTCACAAACCTTTTTCGAATCCATGCGACAGCAGTCACAGGCCATCACTTAGCCCAGAACGGCACCACTGCAAAGCACCGCCCAAACCGAAGTCCAGCGCTGTGTCTGTCGCATGTGCCAGGATCTGGTCCTGCAGACACAGACGTGCAATCTAAAGGATAGGGTCGCTGGAAGCGTGGATGGATGTGCCTTCATTTGCTGGGGAGATAGATCTCCACTAGCTTTCCAAGCTTGGATTCGCCGCTTCATCCTAGAGCAGTTCGGGATTCACTGCACAATGCAGATATAACACCACAGGAGTTAACATGAAGAGTGTCCCTTGCTTTCTCGTTTCACGACGATGGCTCACCCACCAGCCAGCCAAGACCTGACCAAACCTGTGCGGATGCAGAATCGGCGTTAGTTGCAGTACTGAGCAACAAGCATAATCAGGTAGGTGAGTTGCAGCATTTGCCTCTTTGGGTATTCTTGACTCTTTTTGAGGCCAGGTCCTCCATGGACCTTTTCCAGTCCAACCGCGTTTTTGTACCTCTGGGGCAGGTCAACAAGTATGGTTCATCGCATCCAGAAAATCACTTGCAACCAGGACACCGGATCGTTACACCGTCATCGGTACTGCGTGATCTGCGAGGCGAACCGTTTCGAGCCGCCTCCTTGAAGGTGGACATAAGGTCGTATGTAGAATAAAGCCAAGCCGGCTTCTGGGACGGAGCCCCGAAATCACCCAAACAAATGGGATGCCTGAGAAGGGCTGTTCCTTCAAAGCCGTCAGCTTCTCGGTCAAGCAGGAATTGCACCACTGCTTGGATGGATGGGTAGATCTCTAGTTTGCTGCATCTTGGATTTTCCAGCGTAACCCAGCAACCCTTGCACCAGGCCAAAAGCATCAAAGCAGATGTAATCTCTGCCAGTTGTGAGCCTTCACGTATATACTCCTTACTTTCGTCGCCCAAAGGATTGAAACTAGTGCGTTGATGCGTTCCACTGTTGGTCCAGCAAAAGCTGGTGCAGACTGTGGCAAAGTGCGCCAAACCTCCTGGCTCCAGAGCCAGGATGGAAGCAAAGCAGAGAACGATGCCGGGAGGGTGGAGCATATCATGCATTTGAGAACCTGAGTGGCCAAACTACATCAGCAGCAAGAGGATCAGCTGCGTGGCACAGTTGATCATGCGTCTTGAAATTACAGGCAACGATTGAAGTCCATTGCCTTGGCGTTGTATCCCTGGGCAGAGAAGGCCGTAGCTATGGACGCCACACCAGCAAAGAATTCCACACACTGCAAGCAACCTGGGAGGTCCTGCAGAAGGCAATCGGCACACACATGAAAGAAAGATCTACAGACACTCAGCCATCGAGAGCCTGAATGAGCCCATTCTCCATGTTTTGCAGGATGAGTAGGTATAAGGTCATTTCAAGGATGACCTGAGGCAGTACGACTTTCCAATGCAGAACCTGCACGCCCGTCCTTTCAAAAACTTGTACTAAGTACTGTTTTTTTTTTTGTACTTTGGCTTGCGTAACGCTAATTTTGTCCTTTCGGGGGGTGGGTTCGTTGGGGACACATACCCCTGCGACTGCGCGAGATGACAAAGACAAATCTTGTAATATACGAGAAGCCCTTCTGTTGAAAAATACGGAAAATTGAGATATATCTGGGTTTGGCTTATGGAAAATTACGACTACGGTAGAATATTGGTTTGGTTTAGGGTCGCACGGCTTCGTAAATCCTCCCTGATCTCAATCACAGATGGCGGCAACATAGCAACCAAGCATGACTCGTGGGGGCAACAGTGGTTGAACTGTGCCACTGGGCGGCGTGCTTCACCGAGTTGCCTTAAAAACTCCTCGTGGTATCTATGATGAGCGTGCAAAGTAGCACATATAGAACCCGACGCTATGCATGTTTATTCGCGAATGCAATAATCACCAGTGCTCCGGCCAATTGCTCGCTGTATAATATTATTCGCATACACATGTGTATGCAAACTCGAAAGTGAGTATTATTACATAACCCCTAAACCCTAAACTAAGCCCGGAAGCCTTTTAATAAGTACTTATCAAAACAAACCTTAATATAAGAAACCGAACAAGTTGTTTCAGCATCAAACCATACACGGCCTTGTAACAACGCAGGCCTGTATACAAGCACTGTGTCAAAGTATTATAACCGTGCATCAATATTTTAAGATCCCCGCTTCGACTCATAACCGTTCAGTGTACGAACACTGCGTATACAAACCAGCAAAACAATAATAAAGCCGTTCATATGTGACACCATCGCATTGAATCAGTCCTATATATATATATATACCCTATATAGAAAGACCCGAAGCCCTAAAATCTACACCTGGCATGCCAAGCGAATACTCGGCAAGTTGAGTGGACCTTAAGGTGTTTTGGGGCTTGGGGTTTGTTATACAGCTTCATGCAGGGTTTACAATAAGGCTTTCGAGCGAGTTTGGGGTTGCCGCTTGTTCTTTCAGGCATACCAAGGTTTGGTTGTTTAGGATTTGCTTGATCGATAAGCCTATACGCCGGGCCTGCAGGAAGCCTGCAGCCTGAAAGCATAAACACATAACCGCCTGAACTTAAACCCTAAATAAAACAAACACTAAACCCTAAAATGTGGGTGCAAGGGCCAAGCATCGGTTTGAGAGTTTCGACCGGGCTTGCTGGTTTGGGGATTGACCGAGTTAATTAGAGCCTTCGTCCTCGCAACATGACGGCTTAAGCGTTCAAACTTCGACCAAACCCTAAACCCTAAACCCTATAAACCCTGTCAGGTTCACCCTTCGACCTATATGGATGAAGATTTCATCGGTAAGGGGGTTTCGGGGCAGGGTTGAGGTTTTTTCTGCCTACCTAGCAAGAGCTAGGGTTTAGGGCTTGGGGCCTGGGGTTTCGGGGGCAGGGTTGAGGTTTTTTTTCTTCCTACCGCCTAGCAAGAGGGTTTAGGGTTTGGGGTTTAGGGTTTCCGGTTTTTTGGGGCACACAGCACACGCACCCCCCACCCCCACCCCCCCATTTCACTCACACAGCCAGCAGTTGAAGTTCAGCATCCACCGCTCCAGAATCCGTCTGGAGACGGTGGATGCGTGAACCGCTCCTTTAGAGCAATGCATCAGCTTACCGATGAAATCTTCATCCATATAGCATGATGCAACACGCGGATTAAGCCGCGACTTGCGGAGGCGGCACACAACTTCACAGTGGAACTGGTGAAACTTCGGTCGAAGCTTGAACCTGACAGGGTTTAGGGTTTAGGGTTTAGGGTTTGGTCGAAGTTTGAACCTGACAGCGTTAAGGGTTTAGGGTTTAAGGTTTAGGTTTGTAAGGGTTTAGGTTTTCGAGGGTTACGACGCTCGCACTCGCACCAGGTTTACGCTTTGGCACGTCCTCTCACAAAGCATCGCAATGCAATCAGCTGCTAAATTAACAGCATTGCTGTGTGTTGCCACGGTGCCGTGGGATGCACCGCCGCAAAAAATGATGAGCCAGCAGAATGTAAGAGTGGCAGTAAGTTCTGCCGAGCCTCTCTATGTACAACCGAGACGACACCCTATTATGAAAACCTTTAAACATCTAAACTTCCACCCTTTATAAAACCCTAAACTCCTAAAACTATGGCTACTTAGTGCGATCCAAGTCTTGGGTTTTGGGGTATTTCAGGGGTTCGTGTTTCGAAGAAAGCATGCCTGAGCAATAGTGTGTTCTATGTTACATACCCAAAAACACTAGATCCCCAAGAATCTTAAGTTGCCACGATAAGGACAGAATACCCGCGCATAAAAGTTGCCGCAATCAACATGAACCAGGGTTCTCTGCCACTTCAGCGGCTTGTTCATCAGTTAGCCAGAACCCATAGACATCAAGCTTGCAGTTAAAGTTCGTAATGCTCCACGCATTTACTGCCATCAGGCCGACTTCGGGCACCGTTTCCGATAGCTCCTTAGATAACTGAATGTACAAAGGAGTTGTTCTACACCACCCGTTTCCCCATCAATAGTCTGCATGCGAGGCTCCACCAGGCGCTCCGCCAGGTATGCAGTCCTCAGCACAATAGCCGAATAAAGTGATGGTAGTCTGTAGATACGGAGCACACCGTACTTCCACACAATACAAGTAACACGCACAGGTCATGCTGTCATATCGGATAACGATAAAGAGTTCGATAACCAAGACACAAGATTCTGTTGGCATAAGCCTTCCCGTACCCATTCGGATAGTCCAGCGAGACCGCATCCACAGAGAGCTTTGTCAAACCTCATGGGTTGGACAGGGGTTCATTGTATGTCGGGTTTGTCGAAGATTTATGTAGGATGTAGGGTTTATGTGTAGACATGCACCCTGACAATAACTAGGTCCAACCAAGTGAATCCAGGTTTCTCGTTAGGGTTCATAATATTGGGATTGGGGTTGGTGTTTATGCTTTGTTGTCGTCGATCGTTGTCGTTGTTTACAAATTGACCAAGATACTCATTTCATCGATCGTGGATGCTCGAATTCGGTGCGCTTTGCACCATGTTTGAAAGTCATGATGCAAGAACCGTAGACGCTCGTCCCATGTAGGATACCGTTGGGCTTCTGGACAAAACCTCGCAAACTCTAGAAGCAGGGAGGCCGATGCATCCCGTCCCGTGCCCAACCAAAGACAGTGGAGGAGGTCAGGATATTCCACGCTTGGCAGCCATCCATGAAGGCCGTGCATCCTCTAGCTGTATTTCCAAACTTTTGAAACTTAGACTTAGGATACCAACAATACTAATTAACCTGCACTGTAACAGTTCTTGCAAAAGGAAACACAAACGTGTGTACACCCCATGTATACATATGCATGCCTCGGCACGGGATGCTCGGTCCAACACTGCTTTGTGCTGCCAACTCCAAGTCGGCACTATTGTTGAAGCTTTCGGTCATGTCTGCCCAGTTTTGCTCACAAAGACACCTTGGGCAGATTTTGCCAGAGCTGTTGCTGTAGTGCCGTGGCTGTTCCAACCACTCCCGTTTGTGCTTCCAATCTCCCCGGGACACAGTGCAGTGAAGGGTGTATCCTTGCAGTCCCTCCCCCTCTGGGTCGGAACACTTGTTCATCGAAGCGACGAACTCGCGCTGCAGCGACTGCAATGTCAAGTTCCTTTTGTTCTTGTCGTACGCAAACTTGTCCGATCGCAGAACCTTATATAGCCATTGCAATATGATCGTACATAGTACGTGTCGTCTTATACATTATACATTCATACATATTACCAGCACACGCTGCGCCCCAGCGAATAAATACACGGTAAGCTGTGACCAAGGAACGCAAAAAGGATACTTTTGCAGCAAGCTGTCTCCGCGGTGTACACCCAAAGGAGATATAGAGACTACCAAGATCCCCTTCGATCTTTTGGACGTACCCTCGTCCCCGTGCAAAGCAACCGCCAGGGCTCTCGCTTTCGACTCGTCAGACCAGCTCTGAACAGGGTGCTGCCTGGGTTGGGTTGTATACGAAGCCGAGAAAACACTAGCTCACGCAAGAAGGAATTGAAATGCAAGCAGGAAGCGCGCCCCATTCTTCGGATTTTGCATCCTCCCACCACTGGCGCCAATCCACGGTGCCACTCCTCGACAAAACACTCCCGAACTGGTTGTCTACAATTTACACCGTACACAAACAAACGAAACCAGGGTTCAGGGTTCAGAGACTAAGTGCATTAAGGAATCAGGTGGCTCACCAGGTCACTCTGTATCATAGATTTGAAGAGCAGGTGGGGCAGAAGAACCGGAATGGTCACCCAGCAGTTTTTGATAGGCTCAGCATGTTTGCACTTCTTTCCGGGATTTTGCTTTTTCTTGTTGAAGGTCCCTGATCTCAAACGCCGAAACTTGCCAGTGCGTCGCCGCTGTTGGGCCTTTCGCACTTGTTGCCGTATGTCCTTGATCAAGACCGGTATGCCAGAGATCGCGCAACGGAGGGGAGCCTCAGATCTTCCATCAAAACATAAAAGCAATAGATTAGATATTATGTTACAATAACTGAATGCCGCTCAGCTGTACTGTGTTAGCTTTGCAACGTTAGATCAGACATGGTACATCACTGCTTTTGGAAGCCACAGCTTTGTGCAACTTCTCTTCTATGTGTTGTGGACGTCGGCCGGAAGCGCCCAAAGTGGCCGCCCAGCGCGTGCCTTAAACATATGTGGACAAAGCCCAACATACACAATCAGCGAACTGAAACATGCGAAATTTCTGTGAGTCGACAAGTCACTCGCTGAAACATTCTGTTCCCCGGCTTCCGAAACTGCTGCGGCTGCAACTTCTTGTAGCAATCCACAACTGGCACCACGACCAATTCGGCGGGAGACTGTGCGAGATAAAGCAGAATTCTGCAAAGAAAAATTTGTAGAGGAAGGTCTCTTCTGAACGTTCGGATCCCCATCACCCTGGCCAGACGCCCTATCCAGGCTCTGCGCTAGAGTCTTCGCTCTTCTCAGCAGCATTGCATGCGGAACTCGCGAAGCCCCATGATTTGTACAGCCACACCTACTTTTTTCTTTGTGAACAGTCTATGTTAATAACGGTATTAACGGTTCCTGTTTGCTGATCGATAAGAAACGGTTGTAGCTAGAATTAAAGGTCCACCGTATGTAATGGCTTTGTATATATAGCGGCTACATGGTTTGGGTGGTTCAAATAATATCACCACGGGTGCACATTTATTTACATATAGATACATACACATAGGCTTTACAAACGTTGGGCGTGGGCTTTTATTCGACATAGCAACGTCGTGGATTTGTGTTGGGATAGGTGTTGGTTACATATAGTCGGATTGGGATTTTAGTCAACACCTTGCGAACCTCTGTCGATCAGAATATGGGCTGGGCACCTGTTATATAGGCTTAGGATCTCGGGCGGCTTCGTGTTATTGGCTGTTGTACAAACCCCCCTGGCAAAGAGCAGCGTGCGTGTTCAAGTGAGTCTTGCAACTTTCAATATGCACACACACACACAGAACTCAAACCGCACAGGCGAGATCTGCAATCACTTTCAAGCAGACATACAGGGCTACGGGTCATATCACCGTGGTACATGAACGATGATGTCGTACTTTTCACGACGTAGCGCACTATGACAGCAGTGCTTGCTCGACCTCAAACAGTTCTAGGATCATGCATCTGATGCAATGCAACACATATACCCCTACACACAGCACTGCATGTCCTGCGCCGACAGAAAGCCACACAGAGCACATATGTTCGAGCACATGTGTCCTGCTGCTGGTCCCCAGCTCACAATCACTGACTGCATCGCAGGGCTATGCGACTGTGAACATTGTTACCCTCCTATGGTTCTTCAAAATCAGGCTCGGTCGGAGTGAACACACATAAGCAGGGCTCCTATATAGCTAGAGACGAAGACTATCCAGTACATAGTAGTGTATGCATACTACCATTTGTTTGTGTGACCAACTCCACTATCGCTTGTTCAGCCTCGCTTGTTCAGCCCGCTTTGGCTGCTGGCTTCGCTTTCTTGGCAGCTTTCGCCTTTGCCGGCTTTTCGTTCCTCAACCTCGACAGCAGAAGAAAAGCATCTAACACATGATATCGCATGCGCACACTTTCTTTCTGCGGTCAAGAAACAATCCATTCGCGACCCTCGTATGCTTTTTGAATGCCTCCACATAGGCAGCAGCCTGGGATCGATACCCACAGAATCGATTTTGTGCAAACACTCAATCGGAATCCGAACTCAACTTGATGATATACAGATGTGTGGCCAAGGAACACTCAACAGAATTGACTGGACGTCAGAAGCCAAAGGTGCCGTACCCAGCCCCTGGAGCTGTTTTCTCGCCAGACCAATGCCTGTCGAAGCGTCCTGGATCAGCCCAATCAAGGCGCCTTGCGACTCCAGAACTTCCAGCCTCATAGTATCCACATGTGTGTGTGTACGGTTTGGAGATTCTGGGCTTAAGTGGGCATGACCAGGGTTTGGGTTTACTTAGGGCTTGTATATAGAGGACTCTTATAATTGGGTTGCTTTGTTATAGGGTTTAAGAGTTAGAGATTTAGGTAGATTACTATCAAGTGCATTTTCCTAGACAATAAAGAAAAGCCAGAAAGCTCCGCACACACGCACACAGCTTGACCCTGAGCATTGTTGGCCGCCGTAATCCAATGAGAGCAAAAGCTCGTTGCATCCTCCCCACAGACGTGCAGCTCCAGGTCCGCACCCTGCCGCAGGATCAAACTTACAATCATAGATACTTATTGTGTGAAGCTTGGAATATTGTGCGAATTTGCTTTTATGTTATTCAACATAGAAAGAGAGGATAGTTATCGGGCTTGGGTTATTAAATAAAGGGGCTGAGGCTTAGTGGTTTGTATAAGAATATGTAGAAAAGGTACCGCAACCAGGGTTTAGGGTTTTTCTGAACACGAGCCTCGGGCTTGGGAGCTCTGGCTTTTTTGTTCACTGGCTCCTTGGGTTCATTCGGGCCGGGCGGTTGGCCAGCCTTGCCATTCTTGCCACCATGCTTGCCGTTCTTGGGGGCAGACTCCGGGGGCGTGTTGTCACCCAGGGCTGGAGAATTGGGAGGTGGGAGTGCCCCTGCAGGTCCCTTTGCGTTGCCTGAAGTTTCCAGCATTTCACATATGCTGCTAGCGTACTGGGCGTCGCACCCCAGCTCGATGGCAATTTCGTCCTGAGTGTATACAAGTCTGCGAATTAAGAACATACCGGTTCGTGGATATCAGAGATTAATACGTACAAAATTGGACAAGCCGAGGCTCGATGGTTCGATTGATCAGGGAACGGGACTGCCGGCTATAATATAGGAAGGTTTCAACCTCTGGATCGTTGCGATCCACAGACGTCCTGCAGGGATCGACAAGTTGTGTAGTTGTTGGGTGAAAGCTGGGTAAACGGATTCGTAAATCACTATAGACGTTCAGGGGTCCTATATAGATTACCTACAAACCTCGCCAAACCCTTTGCGCTTAAAGCTGTCCCGCGGAGTTCCGCGCGACGTCGAGTGATAAATGCGAGTGCCTTGGCGCTGTCCATCTCGTGAAATTTCAGAATATCAGCCCAAGGATAATATTCACCTGAATAAGCAGAGTGAGAACAAAAGAGATTGGTTGCAGATGCAAAACATAAGTTCAAGATTCAACGCCAACGTACTATCCCGCAATCTCGAGTTATGACATTAGTAATATAATAGGATAATACCGACTATAAAATGCCCTCAATTAATGATTTCATCACCAAACTTAAAGCCCCTAACTGTTGCCATCATACAAACCCCCTATGTACCCTGAGCATTTCAGTTTCGATCCCCACAACACTTTGTTATTCCTATATTATAAACCCTTGAACCTTGAAACCCTTAAGCCCTAAACCCCAAAGCCCTATATAAGCCAAACTCCCCAAATACAGCTGAACCCATCTGGCTGGACACCCTCATCTTTGTCGATTTCCTCGCGCTGACGTTTGAATCGAAGAGCACATTCCAGAGCCAAAGCGTCGCCTGCAGCAGGACCCGTGGGAAAGGTTCTATATCGGGAGAGTTTTGGGTAAGAGTGAAAACCCTAGGCCCTAGATATAAACCGCCCATATATATATATATATATATAAGCTCACAAAACTCAAACCACATAGTTCCTATATACAATAAGCTAAACCAAATTTAGATATTGTAAGGCTTGTTGAATTCACAACAAGATACACCCCGTCTGCACGAACCGTGCAAACATAGCCATTCGCTTGGCTCCACCGTGAGCCCATGCCTTCTTCAACTCCCCTGCCCCTGTGCTGTGTTCGCAGAACCTCTGGAAAGACTTGTACTCCGTCGGGTGGCTGCTGCTGTTAATCCTCGCATCCGGTGGCCCGGGGACCATGCCTGCTTTCGCTGTTGCTGCGGGTGGATTGATGCTCAGGGGCGCGGTTGCTGGCCCGGGTGCCATTGCAGGTACATGGGCATTGCTGCTCGGGGGTGCATTGATGCCGCCAGGCGGTGGCGCCGGTGGGGCAGTTGCTTTGGGCTCCGCGTTTGGCAGGGCTTCCGATGGTGTGCTTGGGACCGGAGGCGATGCCTTCGGGTCATCGTTGCGAAGTGGGGTCGCGACTGGCTTGGCGGCCGTTTGTGCTGCAATGATGCTTTGAAAATTCTGGGTCAGCGCTGTCACCTGCTCTGAGCTCACAGAACCTCCTTGGCTAACGATCTGACTCAGCACAGTTGCGAGCATGGTTGCAAGCATGTCCTGCTGTGTGTCGTTCGGGGCGGCCTCAACTCCTTTAGCAGCCTTTTGTGGAACAGGCGGCGGTGGCATGTTTGTAGCTGGCAATGATGGTGGTCCTTTGGCAACGGCCACCGGTGTCACTTGCGGTCCTGGTGCTGGTGCATTCTGCTGCAGCAGGTTCGTCGATGGCATCGTGCTTGGCATGACTTGGGTCACTGCTGCGGGTCCTGTCGTTACTGCTGCTGTTTCTGCCGGCCGATTGGGTGCTGCTACCAGTGTCTGCAATGGCACGGTGGTTGGCACTCGTTGTGTGCTCCCTGCTTCCATCACTGGCACTGTTGCCGGGGGTCCTTTTGTTGCTTCCGCTGTTGGTTGTGGTAACAACTGCATCGATGCTGTTGCTGGGGGCCCGGATGCGCCCGGTGCCACTGCTGCGGGTCCTGTGGTTACTGGTGCTGTCTGTTGTGGCGGAGAGGTCGACGGCATCGTGCTTGGCGTGACTGGCTGCTGGGGCAGTGCCACCGTTGTGGGTCTTGTCGTTGCTGGTGGTGCTGTCTGCTCTGGCAGATTGGGGGATTGTATCATGCTCGGCACTACTGCTGCAGGTCCTGTCGTTGGTGGTGTCTGTTGCACCACATTGGTTGATGGCATCGTGCCGTTCGGCATGACTTGGGGCGGTGCCACTGCTGTGGGTCCTGTCGTTGCTGGTGGTGGTGTATGTTGCACCACATCGGTCGAAGGCATCGTGCTCGGCATGACTTGGGCCGGCGCCACTGCTGATGCTGCTGTCTGTTCTGGCGGACTAGTTGGTGGGACGGCGCTGGGCACCACTGCTGCGGGTCCTGTTGTTGCTGCTGGTGTCTGTTGCACCATAATGGTCGAAGGCATCGTGCTTGGCATGACTTGGGCCGGCGCCACTGCTGATGGTGCTGTCTGTTCTGGCGGACTAGTCGGTGGGACGGTGCTCGGCAGCACTGCTGCGGGTCCTGGCACTGCTGGTGTGGTCTGTTGTGGTGGAGAGGTCGATGGCATCGTACCTGGCGGCATGACTTGCTGGGGCAGTGCCACTGTCGTGGGTCCTGTCGTTGCTGGCAGTGGTGTCTGTTGCACCACATTGATTGATGGCGTCGTGCTCGACATGACTTGGGTCTGTACCACCGCTGCTGGTGCTGTCTGCGCTGGCAGATTGGTCGATGGTATCGTGCCCGGCATCAGTTGGGGCCCTGCTCCTGCAGGCGTCACTGTTGTGGGTTCTGGTGTCAGTGCCACTGCTGCGGGTCCCTTTGCTGGTGATGTCTGCTGTTGCGGATCTGTCGATGGCATCGTGCTCGGCATGACTTGGGGTGCTACTGCTGCAGGGCCTGTCGTTGCTGGGAGTGTCTGTTGCACCACATTCGTCGATGGCATCGTGATGCTCGGCAGGGCTTGCTGGGGCAGTGTCACTGCTGCGGGTAGTCCCGATGCTGCTGCTGCTGCTGATGATGGTGGGTCGTTGCGAACATCTTTGTTTGTAGCTGCAGTCGTTGCAGAGTGTGGCGATGTTGGAGATGCTGTGCTCGGTGATGCGCTCGGGGCTCCCAGCAAAGTTAGAGGCGACTTACACACCCTGCATCGCTCCCCCAGTCGCTGCACATCATCAGGCTGGTAGAAAAGCTGACAAGGCCCGCACACCCCAAGCTGTGTTGGCAAACTGGTTGGTGAGGGCACGGCTCGGGGCTGTGGCAGAGAAGCTTCTTCGGCCGGGAGCACTGATGGAGATGGAACAGATTCGGTTGGGGAGGGCACCGACGGAGCGTAGCTGTTGTTGGCAGCACTATCAATAGAAGCTACTGATTCGGCAGCAGACCCCAGCGACACCGAACTTGTAGATCGGAAGCGTTGCCAAAACCCCTTGTATCGCCCGACCTCCTCCTCGGACAGCTTCGGCAGGGGGCATAGATCCTCTTTGTCCTGTAACGTGCAATAGGAATTATTGGATATGGTGGGTTGCAGCTAGGTTACAGGTATTTTCGGGGTTAAATAGGCAATGTAGCGCACCTGGTGTTTGCGCTTGGCCGCCGTCGGTTGCTTCGGGGGTGGACGAACAACAGCTGCTGTTGCTGCTGCTACAGATGCCGAAGCCATGCCCGAAGCCGAAGTAGGCTCCGTCTCCAAGCCCTGCACACAATCAAACTTGAAACTTAATTATCGCTGAAATCACTGCTTCTCAGTTAAACCATACTGTTTGCACATGTTGTGGGTTTCCCATATAATGTTTCTGTATAGTGCTTCATTTGTTAAATGTTCAGGGTCCAGGGTTAGCGGGGTTTACTTACGGCTTTGTGCCTTCACCACACGAGCCGCCAGCGAAGCATCGTTAAATGAGGAACAATGCACGAGGTTAGAGTCAGTTCGCTCCAGGGATGGCGCCGTTGCCTTCGTGAGCTCAGACACATCTAGGGCCTCTTGGGATTCACTGCCAGCATCAGTAGTGACCGTTTGCACGGAGTCGAGCCGCACAGGGGGTTGGTGGTGGGCCGGGGTCGGCACATCAGGCGCCTTGGTTTCGGCGGGCATCGGAGGCAGCACCCCCTTGACTGCTTGGAGCACACCAGTCGCATCGGGAGCCGAAAGCCCGTGGTAACCCGCCTTCTGTTCCGTATCATCCGAAGGAAACACCAATAGCCCGGGTCGTCTCTCAAGAGCAGACTGCGAAGCAGGGATCGTTTCAGCATCTGAAGCACAAATCTCAGCGACAGGAGCCGCGGCATCCGAAGGCGGTGCTACGGAGCTCGGCTGCGAAGCTGGCGAAGGCGGCGCAGCTTTCCCAAGCATTGAGCTCCTGAGCTAGGGGAGGCTAGCATAAGTGGTTTGCAGAGGGTCTTATATAACACGTCGGAATGGTTCTTCAAGAAGTTCATTCATCCAAGCAACATCTTCGAACGAACAAGATCCTGCTGTTCGGCAGTCAAACCCAGCGTGCCAAGCAACGCTGCATCGATAGTCGAGGCAACAGCCTCAGATCGAGAATAAGTTTATGGTAAATTTTACAGCACCATGGTCTATGATGGGTATAACAGCTGAAACATGTAGTACGGTCTCATGAAGGGAGAGGGACAGAAGTATCCACGGGTGCTGCAGCCGTTTTCGGGGATGGTTTCTTCTTGGCCATGGCCCCGAAGATCACAAAAACAAGTGAATACACTAAATGTCACTCGTTTCCAAACCCTGAACCAACCAATCGAGACATTGCGGCAGGACACAGCAACATGTTCAGACAAGTTCCGATACACTGCACAGTTGAGGAAGCAGCATTGGGATCTGATGTTTTGGCATAATACTCCACCAATGACAGGAATCTCTAGATTTTAGGTGGAATGGGTCCTAGTAAGTTGGAGAGGACTATTTTCCCTGGATTTCCCGCATTTTAGACAGGATTTCCCGCATTTTAGACAAGGTCCCCGCGTAGCTCATTTGTCCTTTCCAACCCCATGCATTTGTCCGAATTTGTCCTTTCGAACCCTGGTTTGTCCTTTCAAACCCCATTTTGTCCTTTACACCCATGATCGGCGTCAAGATAATCTGATTCGGCTAGAGGGTACACCTACTTTCTATGGAAACTTGCAGTCGATCTTTCTTTTGCAGGGTGTGCACACGCTTTCCCCAGCAGTTGCTGCACCCAACATCATGTGTTCGGTCCCCTACACCCAGTCCGCTGGCCACGAAGAGGGCAAACGGAGCTTGCCACTTGACTGCATGAAGCGGACCACTTGCAAGAGGTCAGCCTCGGCTACATAACAATGGCACGCCACGCAGAGTATGTCAGAACAACTGAGAGTCCTAGAGGTTTGACTTCATATGGAGAAGAGCAGCGTCCTCATGCCAGTCTATCGGTGCAGAGAACAGTGTACGAATCTGTTCATCTACGTCATATAGGACTTCGTCATTGAAACCAAGGGGAACGTAGAAGAGCTGATCCGGGATGTGCCGCTCAGCATCACACCCGTGGCAAGCCGCCTGGGCATGCGACTCCTATGCTTAACCCTACACATATTAGCCCGTTCGCACTATCTGCCGAGCTATCCATCTATCTTTCTGCTCCTACCTACAAGTTACATATTATATATTTTGTAACCGAGTGATGTATGGCCAGGGGGGGGAGGGCTGCGACTGGTTTTAACGGCTTCATATATCTAGGTGGTTATAGGGCTTTTGGTGTGGAGAGTTCAACAGTTTGCATATGGTGTGCACATTTGCTACATAATAGTAGGTACACACATAAAGTGCATGGTTTCAGGTGTTTTCCGGCTCTAGCTATCGCAATGCACACTTCAGTATTGGGCTGCTCCCGATATACTGCGCTACTTATGCCTGGGTTATCCATTACTGTAAATCCAAACACAGAGCTAACTGGAAACTGGGTTAAAACAAATAGTGCTGGGATTCACTATATCTTACGCTGATATACAGATTGAGGGTACCATAAAGGTTTACAACTCTTGGGCTTCGACTGTATACTATGCCACGACGACGACCTACTGCGTGTGGCTGCAAGATACTCTGCAATATATGATAACAGGCCAATGCGATGTGTTGCCAAAGATATTGACCTGAAGGATAGTGCAATAAGTTTCGGGTCTATGGCTTTGCGGTTTGTTATTTGGAGCATACAGCACACTCCCGACCCTAAGCGCAAACCCAAAATCTTAAGCATCTCTCGCGAAGCCCTAGGCTCGAAACTCCTGCACCGGCATCAGACAGGCCCTATATGCAGGGTTTATTGTAGGGTTTGGTTATTCGTATTTGGGGTTCAGCAGTGGAGTTATTCTCGATCCCAGAATACCACCCCATTATAGTAATAGTTAACAGCCCAACCTTGCAGCCACCGGTCCAGGTATCCAGGACGCACTTCGCAAAGTCGGTGGTGTACTCCCTAGCAGGCTAGATGGGCTCCACACATATATATATATGTGTGTATAGAACAGGTGCTGGGATGAATTCTATTATGGTGAACCCTATACAAACCC